CCCCTTTTTTCCTTTTCCTTTTTTCTTTCCCCTTTTTTGCGCTCTTATTCATAATGTGACAATATATATATGACGATATATATATATATATATATATATATATATATATATATATATATATATATATATATATATATATCACAATTCTACCCGGAGGTACTAGCAGCATCAACCAGTTTAACTTACAGGCGCTAGCCTGTAGAAAATCCGTACTAAGGACTTTCCAGTTCTAAAACCAATCTTATATTGAATGTTCACCAAAGTTTTCTCTCCATACTTCATTAGTGCAACACTTTCAAGTTTCAACCAAACCCCTTCTTATGAAAATGTAACTAATCTTACTACTTGACTTGCCTATGACATTTGACCAGTTCCAACAAATTGCATCATTAGCCTCTAAGCAATACTTTCGGTGGTTTGTCCTAATACATATCTCTAGGACTAAAACAGCCCAGAGGACCAGGGACTCCGGTCCCAAACCTACCGACCCTCTCCTAAATGACCTATAACGGGCCTATGCAACCGAGTACCTTGGTTGGTATGCTACCTACCCGACTAGCTACCCGTCACCCCATGACCCCAGACAACTCTTACCCGACTCAACTAACTCCTCCTGCTTCACCTGATGTCCTGATGTTTCACTGTGGACTCGGTGTCCAACAGCAACCTTGACAAAACCAGACCTTTCGAAGAATGGACCGCAGCCAACTGATGATTCTTGGCCCATGTGTGTAGGAACCATCAAATATGTCTTCGACTTCCTCTGCCTTCTCCAGTCTCCTTCTCCAGTCCCCTTCAGAATCTCCAGTCTATACTGATGGCCTATCCCAGTCCCTGTTCTGTGTGCCTCTTGATTTCCATATATGAAAAGGGTCTCATGTGAAACCTGGATTTGTTCCTATCTGACCAGATGACTTCACATATTAGGCCTCTGATCACATGGGCTGCGTACTACCAGCCAAGTCGTCCACTCACTCCTGGAGGGAGGAAACTCGGTAGCACCCACTTCTCATCCCAGACCACATGCTGACCGCCGCATTCCTTCCAATGATGAGTTCAACAATTCCACACTCGTTTTGAGGCAGGACAATCCCACCACACATGGCGGGTAGATTCAAATGGTCATCTGCACTGTGTGCAGCCCAAGCTAACCTCTGTTCCTTTGCCGACCAACCACACAGTTGATGGGGCCACTAAAAGGGAGAGTAATCAGAGGATACTTGCCTGTTTGCCTTTTGGGAGCACGGAAAGGATCCATAGTTTTATGAAGTCCTGTTTTGTATCAGACAAGTCTTCACTCCATACTGCCTGCCATCTTGGGACTGCAATTTGGGTAGGACACTTGATGAGCTTATGAGATTGCTGGTATCCGTGTGTATCTAAGTAATCTAACAGTTTCAGAACGGGCTCATCCCCTGTCGAACTCCAACCCCAAGCCATTGGGTCCTGTGTGTCCAAAAATCGATTTAACGCGGGGTCCGCGTTAAAAAATTGAACGTGCGTTCAATTCGCGTTCAATCCCCGTTCAAACGCACGTTGGACGCGAATGAACGGGGTCCGCGAACCGTTATTTCGCGCTCTCGGGGGGGGGGGGGGGGTATTCTGAAGGTGCGGGGTGGTAGTCTTCGTTGTCGGGTACCACCCTGTGCATTCATTTTTTTTTATATTTTTTTTTCAAAGAAAAAAAAAAAACCGCAGGGCACCGGCCTGCGGCGGCCTCCTGGGGTCCTGGGGGTTGGCGCAGGGGGAACGGGCCGAACAGGTACTTAACAGGCAAGCGCGTTCAACCGTAGCTCATTTGCCGCGCGAGCACTAACGCTCCAACGCGACAAACAGGTTGCCCGTCAGGTTGAAACGCGCGCGCGCGCGAGAGAGAGAGAGAGAGCGGAGCGTGGAGCGTGGAGCGCAGCGGAGCGTGGAGCGTGGAGCGTGGAGCGCGTCGGAGCGGAGCGGCGATGGTGGGGAAGCGACGGAGCGGGTCGACGACGGATGAAGGCGCGCGCGCATAAACCCGACGAACGCCGTCGAATTTTTAATTCGACAGCGTTAAACGCGATTGCACGCGATTGAACGCGTTTTAACGACATTCAACGCGATTGAACGCGCGGGTCTGACCCCTGCTTGGCAGGGTTCGGCGGGGTTCGGCGGGGCCGTGCGGGGG